GAAGATTTATTCGCTAATCCACGGTTTCCTCTTTGAAATAGCTACAATAACAAAAAAATATATAATAAAATTAATATTATTATTTTAATATAATTGTAATAATAATTATTATATAATTTGTATTTTGCAGAACCGCCTCTTCCTCCTAATCTAGGTTATATAGATTTCCAAGGCTTGCGACATTATTATAAAATACACGAAAAATCTTCGTCATGGGAAGAAGCAAAACAGATATGTGAAATAGAAGATGCGCATTTGTTAGTCCTCAATTCGGATGCAGAAGCGGATGTCATTCGTCAAGCAGTCAAGAAATACACAAGTACCTCTAATTTTTATTTCTGGATTGGTGCTCACGATAAAGACATCGAAGGAAAATACGTTACTATATTTGGTATGCCGCTTTAATTTATCATTTCTTTTTGGTTTGAGAAATCTATGAAAAAAGCAAACAATACTCGTACTTATAGTAATTAGTCAAATAACTGTAATAAAAACCTTTTACGATGAAAAACTAACTTTAAGAGGTGAAGTGACATTATTATTTTGCAAAAAATTGTCAACAAATCAATTTCTGTAACTACAAGTATACTCCAATTTATTTAAGGTGAAACGTTAGCTGCAGCTGGATACGAGCGATGGCGTTCAGGTCAACCCACAAATACCAGCAAGGAAAATTGTCTGCTAGTGCATGGCGCTACAATGGAGCTTTGGGATGAGCCCTGCAAAGGATTATTTTCATTTGTGTGCGAACAGGTCATCGAATAGAAATGCATCAAACCAAGTCTTATACAGATTTCTCACTTTTAGTTTAATGTTCATACTCATGAATTAATACATAAGTAATTACATTACATTACATAATTGTTTCTACACCCAAATAATTTTTCACTTAAATTGTAATTCTTTGGTAAATAAATCGTTACTTCAGTTGAAGTCATGTTCTGTTTTAAAATTCCTACTTTTTATGCCCAGTATCACTCCATTCTCATGTAGATCACCAAAAAATCTCGGAAGAATTCACCATAAGACATGATAAACTGCATTACTTCCGTAGATGACTCTCCAAGATTACCATGCTATCAATTTGTGGATGTTAGAAACTGCAAAGTTCACATCAGTAGAATGTAAAAATTCATGACATTGAGACAGGCATGTTCTTTTCTATTTATGACATAGTTTAAAAAAATCATTTAGTGCAATGTTCAGATTGTTGTTTTGTTGGGTCAAATGAGTTCAGAGATACTTGAGAACTGACTTGGCAGAATCTGACACTCCGTCATAGCTTAACTACCCTCAGTGAATATCACATATTTTTCATAAATGAGGCAGTTCCGACAAAAAACTGCAACGTATAATTAATGATTACAATTGTTTTTTACTTGGATTTTAACATTCAATTATGATATTATTATTAGAATAATATTTTAATCTTGCCTTTTAATGTAGTTTTGTAAAGAGAAACTTTCATCACGTTTTCAACCACGAGTGTATTTCAAGTCAGTCAAAAGGACCAATGTTAATAAAAGTTGGAAAGATCATCATCAATTAGAGAAATCGATTTCAAAAGATTATCACCCACGTGAGACATGCTTGTTGTTATATCTGACGAAGTGAATCGTTTAATCAACCAAAATCTCAACTTTTACCAGTCTTATTTAGATAAACAAAGGTATATAAGGTATATAAAATGATAAGATACATGTAGAATATATCTACGAGCACCAAAATATTTATGAGTTAAGTGCACACATTTTAATTGATAATATGCGCATTTGTGAACATAATTTACTTAAATCATGTTTATTTAAAAAAAAATACATATTGGCTTTATACTAGGTTCAACTGATTTTCTGTCAAATATTTGTTTTCTACTTTCTTGTATTTTACGTAGTACTTAAATAGAAAAATAAAGTAATATAATGCTGCAGAAGAAAGGGGCAGTTCACAACAAAATATAATTAGTTCCGTAACGGACTGTTCAGATATGGCTTCTGCCCCTTTCCACCTAATAGCTCATTAGTAAAATTATTGATATAAGGATGATGAAGTGGAAATAAAAGGTTAAATTAATACCCTTGTAAAAGTATTATTTATAGCTCATTGCACATAAAGTTGATATAATATTTCAGTTAAAGTTTGAATTTAAATATGAATAATTTTATGCAATTACAAAACACTATTCAAGACACATTCTAGGGGAGGGAAATGAGACAGTACTCCAACGATGAAACCATTTAACTTAATAATGTTGAGATTTTCAATAGTTTTCAAATATACTTGTATTTTAAGACATTTTCACCAAAAATTATTATTGCAGATAAAAAAGTTCTAGAAAATATGAATATTTTATTTGAAAAATAATTTTTTTCGTTATAATTCTTTAAAGTACGTTATCTCAATTCGGAAATTGCTCATAATTAGAGTTATCTTTGTTGTCGTGTAGCACTATTGATTAAATTATTCACATGATCAACAAACTTGCACTCTTGACCTGTTACTACATGAGGGAAGATAGTGAAAGCTATAAAAGTTCACGGCCATACCGATACAAATATCTTTATCCTGGTGTATTTCAAGATGTTCTTAAGGTAAGTAGTGTTTTTAGTATTTAAATATAAGGATTTGAGACAGCTAATGGAAAAATATTGTTGATTTTGAAACATAAAGCAGCCTATTTTATTACAATTGCACGCGTGGAAGTATTTGGAGTTACTCTAAGTGATTGAACATTTCTCTGGGGCTGGGGAGGGTAAGGTTCAGGATCCCGAAGGTGACGGGTCTCTCGACACCAGCTATGGTATGAGATCGAAGCTGTCCATTGCCTGCACGAAACTTCTAGGGGCTGGTGGTTAGAAACAATGATGCGGAGAAATTTACGGTATTTTGCAGGAAACTTGGTTATCACGCACGTTCGTTACACTGGGGAACACAATTTTTTCCTCCAGGAAGTAGGGTGCGCAACATACTGAATTTTATACGTATATTACGAATATTCTAATAAAAACATATTATCACGTCACATCTTTTAAATATACCGTATCATATCGTATTTTTCTATTTCTGCAAATATATTTAAATTGCATCTTTATGATACTTAGAATCTATTCGCAAGAAATCTGTTTAAAAATAAAATATTTGTTCAGTTCATCTATGCCGCTTTCATGAAATATCAATAAAATTAGGCTTTCGTGGGTGTTTTGCCTTCTATATTGGAAGATAACTGTCTTTATTCTCCCCTCTGGTAAACGCGCTCAATTACGAATAAGTCTTAGTAGTTTTATTCCTCATATTTCCCCCTCATATTTCCTACTGTGCATCAGTCACCGAAAGGAATTATTTCAGCCCCTTACCTTAATACGAGAATACATGTACCCAGCGTATCAGCGTGGTCGAAGTGACAGATTCTGAGTCAATCGGTGCCATGCAGAACTGTACTCGCAGTGCGTGTGAAGTTCGTTTCCGGTTTGCGTGTGCCTCAAATCCGTTAATACAATACAGTTCAGTGGCTTCTAAATAATTAACTTCACCGCATAATCTGTAGATTTGAATCGGTTCATTAAGTGCAAATCATTTCACATCCAAAGTAGGCGAAAGTTATTCGCTCACACAACAAACCATTTTAATGTCTGCATATTATTGCACGAATATGCGCATTCCATTATTTACTTGTTCTTATCTCATGTGAAGCACGCTCATAAAATGTTACAGTATTAGAACCGGTGTGGCAATGCGGATACAACTCGTAGTGTAGGATTTTGTTTACTTCAGATAATAAATATGTCCATATCTTTTGAATCTTGCGATCAGCGTGGTCGTTTCCTTTAAAATCACTTACTTTCATCCAGAGGGGTATCATTTGTTTTCCTAATTAGCAGGAAAGAATATCGGTTGAAACATTAATTGACCATTGGGTCTGAAAACTGGACCGACATATAACTTGTGGATTCGATCGTATCCACCAGTGTTTGTAGTGCAAGATTGACACCTCCACATGATGCAGGTTTCAGACCCACAGACTTTCAACTCTGTATGCTGAGTTCAAAGTTACAAGTTGAATCATGTAAAAATGGATGTATCCCGGTTGTATACCACGATCAACTTTTGTTACCGCTCCAAACAGGCATCCCATTCTGCATCTCGTTCAGTTTCCCTGGAGGAGGAACTTCGCCAAGTATCAGTGCTTTCAGGTTCGCTTTCATATTTGTTGCTTCAGTACGCACAATATCAGTTGCCATGCACAATGTGAGAACAGTCGAATCAAATATTTACATTTTTCAGTCAAAATCCAAACAGGTTTTACGTTAAATTTTCCATTATTGTCATGTCTAATGAAATCATTAAACAACTTTCACATGGGTTTCCTTCCGATTTCTGCGAGCATTGGCAATGCGTTTCATAAGATTTTGGGGGGGGGGGAGAAGTGGGTTAATAGTCCGACAAACAAATGAGATCTATAGATCTTACATAATTCCGGGCTCTAGTTAAATTTCTCCGCGCAACGGTGCGTGCTGGGGAGGTTGGGTGCGTCCTCGTGCACGCACAATATCAGTCAGTACGCATAATATGGAAATAGTCGAAATAACTAATCAAATCTTTACATTTTTCAGTCAAAATCCAAAACTAATCTTAAAATCAAAACCACAAAATAAATCAACATCGTTAGCCAAACAAGGCAGTTAAGTTTTCAGTGACGGACTCTAAAAGTAATTATTTCTCCATTGTAATTCACTTCCTTGGAAGGCAGTGATGCCGAACTATCAGAATACATAAATAAAAAAATCCAAACACTTTATTGTAGTTTTTTCCAAGTTCGTGTCTTATGAAATCGAGAGGAAACTATGTAGGCATCGACCGTGTGAAAGTTGTTTAATAAACAAACCTTCACATGACCGATACCTACAATAGTTTCCTTTCGATTTGCCTCACGTTAGAAACGACTTGCACAGATTTTACACAACCGCGTGCTCTACGTGAATTTCTCGTGCGCAAGGCTGGCGTGCATGGTGGCGTGCGCGAGCGCGTGCGCGCGGGGCGAGTGCGGCGAGGTCGCCGGCGCCGCCGCGGCGCACGCGCAGCTGACGGTGGCGACGCTGCGCAACGCGTCGGGCCACTGGGAGGCGCGGGTGCGCCTGTACCAGGAGGCCGCGCCGCCCGCGCGCCTGCAGCCGCTGCTGGTGGACGTGCGCCCGGCCTCGTCGCTGTGCGGCCCGCTGCGCTCGCACCTGCTCACCGTCACGCTCTCCGGTCAGTCCTTCGCTCAGCGCTCGAGCGCGAGCACATAAACATACGCTTTATCTACGATTGATGATGAGAATAAAAGTAATAATAGTAGTAGTAATAGTATTAATAGTAGTAATAGTAGTAATAATAATAATGGAATAGTCATAAAAGTAAAAATAATAGTAATAATAGTAATAATGATAATAATAGTAATAACAATAATAGCAATAATAATAGTAATAATAATAGCAGTAATATTTTTGTGCCTTGGATGAGGTGGATGAATCTCCAAGAAAGGAAAGACTTAACCAAACCATCATTAATGAAGGAGTACACAAAAGGTGTTTAAAACGCTGTATGAGGAAGCTCTTCCTGGGACCAACTCCATATTTTTGTAGATAAGTTGTGTTTTGAGTAGCAATGCTCCGACATGTCTTGAGTAGAGATGTAATAAATAATAATAATAAAATTAATAATAATAATAATAATAATAATAATAATAATAATAATAATAATAATAATAATAATAATGGTATGGATAGCCAAGATTGCAAAGGCAATAGGGCCGTGGCGATCTCGGACGGAAGGATCGCGGGTTTGACTCTCGGGCATGGGTATGTTTGTGTATGTCTGTATGTGTGTGTCGTCCATTACTTCGTCATTATCATCCTCATTCCATCTTGATTCCCCCCGAAGACTAGCAACCCTGGGAGCTAAAATTTGGCTTCAGAGTAATGCTAATCCCCCCAAAAAGGAGTCACTTTCTCTTGACACGGAATAAATGTTACTGAGCATTGGTAAGCGCAGGTGTATGTCCGCGTGATCCTAGATGTTCAGTTCAAGAGGGAAAAAAGAAGTCGAAAAAAGCCGACCCCGTGACGCAGCTGGTTGCGACAGCCGTCGTCTGCGCTGAGGAGGCTGCAGGTTCGAGTCCTGCGTAAGCATGGGCGTATTTTTGATTGTCCCTTCACCCCTCATCACTGCATTATTCATAACTCAAGGCGTAACAACCTTCTCTTACGATACATCCGTAAAGAGCTTCTAATCTGTTGTGTGTGTGTGTGTGTACGTTTGTGATTGTCCCTTCACCACACTGCTTAAGTCTATTGAGATGTGTACAATCTTGCACGACCAACAAATTCAAACCGATATCACAATAGCGGCAAACACACAGGATATTGTTATTCGAGATTTGGAAAAAAGTGTCTACTTGCAGATGTGGCATGCGATTAAAACATTGCAACAATGGAAGCAGAGAAACAATAGAAATACAAGAATTTGGAAATCGTGATCAGCCGAATGTAGGGCGTAAAAGCACAGGCCGTCTCGATAGTTATCAGATATCTGGGATTGTCTAAACTCCCAGGTGATCCAAAAGACTGAGAAGTACAAGTACCATTGCTCTTTTTAAGTACAGTCCAAATTTTGCGTAAAGTATTGTTGAGTCACGGACCGTTATTAGATGCTCCTTAAGAAGCTGGTTGCCACCTGGAGTAGATTTTCATCTGACTCGTCGTGAAATAGAATAATAATAATAACAACAATAATAATAATAATAGTAATAATAATAATAATAATAATGATAATATTAATTTATCACTGCAAATGAAAGTACGCTCGTTGGAAGGTAATCAAGAAAAAAGTACAAAAATAAAAATTTGAACAAATAATTCAAACAAATATTAAAAAATATATATAATATAAACGCAAATAAACAAAAAAATAAAATAAAAACACAAATAAATACATACGCACGATTTATAAAATATATTAAAAAATATAAAATATGCCCAATTCAACTCCATATCCATAACTTCACTTCACTGAATCTCCCTTCGGTAAGCATATTGATTGACATATTAAATAATTCGACTCCAGGCGCGTCAACTGGTAGGGTATTTAGTTCCGTAAGTATAGCACATTATCTTTCCTCTGGAGGTGGCGGTGATCTTCCCCCGCTGGATAGGGAAAGATCATAGCCTCCAGATAGGAAGATACGATCTTCTCGTCGGCTAGCGGAGTTTTCCACAACTAGGTATCTCCCACCAGTGAAGCACCGACCCAAATTGGCCAAGCTCGCGACTCCCGATCAATCTTCCGGCATGTGTGGTAATGTAGTGCTTGTAAGTGTAAGTATATGTAAGTAAGGGGTAAGTACAGGACACGGAAGAGGAAGGAAAAATCGCGCGCGGTCCGTGGTCCATTTGTTAGGGTACTGCTCCGGCATTCGCCTATTGTTAATTGTAGAAACCACAGAAAACTATCTATCAGAGCCCGATCAGATGGCTGCTGTAATTCTACTCCAGACAGCGACTGAATTCGACCTAGCTAGCATCGAAAATTCTGCCACAGTCGGGACTCGAAGCTAGGACCGCGCGGCTCTGAGGCACAGCAGTGACATCGGCTGATGCCCTGAGCCACACCTCCCAGTTCCATTTTTCATGGTACATTTGGCAATTACAGTTACAATAAGAGCGAACATTCCTTCTTTTAGGGCCTCCTCTGGTCCCACCTGGCTACACTGAGCTGTCGGGCTTGGGGTTCTACCGGCTGTACGAGGAGAACATCACGTGGCCTGAGGCGAAGTCTGCGTGCGAGGCCGAAGGCGCGCATCTGCTCGTCCTCAATTCGCAGGCCGAAGCCACGGCCATCCAGAAGCTCATCCAAAGGCACCCCTCCGTCACCCCGTGGATCCACATCGGCTTCCACGACAAGATCAAAGAGGGACACTACGTCACTATTTTCGGTACGCCATGTTTGGAGTCCCGCTTTTTTCATGGGGCTTTTTCTTGCCACATACCGTATACTGGTGGCTCAGAATAACTATTACAAAGTTGTAGAGCACGAAGGGAGACCAAGATAATCACATTTTTTAAGAGCCTGTGGAAAATCCCATGTTAGGTAGTCGCACATGTGCCATCTTTCCCTAAATGGTAGGTAAGTCATTTTGCAGTGGTGATCGGCAGACATAAAATCACTTTTTCCGAATGCCACCAGATGAGTGCTTCCCAGATAACAGAATATGTTTGTAAATTCATCAAATATCTATTTGCAAAACCAAAAAGAATGAAAAATTTTTAAGATGTCTACATACTGCATTATAGATTATCATATTATTAAACAACTATGTAAGGCCGTCATCTGTCTACTTTTGCGGTGAATAATCAGTTTTATAGTGTGCCATTTAAATACTCAAGTAAACTTTTCCCGGGGATTCACATTCAATTGATAGTTGCAAGAGACCAAATACTTCTAAACACTTTCGGAATAAACGACTGTCAACCGTTGGTATTGTCTGTCTGTCGCTCCTGTTCAATTTTATCAATCTTGGTCTGTCCTCCGTTTGCTCGTTCTATAGAAAAACACTGTAGCGTGAACTGTAGAATCATATTGCCGTTCGACCTTATCTTTTTCCAAGCATATGTTATTGACGAATGGTATCAGAATGATTCAGGTATGTACAAGTATTTCAATAGTTTACGAATTATTCACAATATCTTATAGTTCGTATATTTCGCTACCTAAACGATATTAAATTAGCAACTACGGAATGTATTATTTTTCATACATGTCTTCTTTTTCAGGTGAAACCTTAACAGAGGCCGGATATACTCGTTGGGATGCAGGACAACCAGACAATCTTGGCAACGAGGACTGTGGTTCTATCAATGCAAAAACCGTTGGTCTCAATGATCTCAACTGTGCTACTCACAAATTCGCATTTATTTGCGAGCAAAACTTTAGATAACATGCGAAAAATTTACAAGCACTAGGTATTATAGTTGTAATTTAAATTTCTGCTGTTTATCCTGTAAGATAAGAGAATATCTTAATTCCATTAAATTTTAGTTAATATGTTCTATATCACGCAATTTACACACAAAATGCGTCTTTTCTAAATAATGTACTATCTGTAATGAGAGTATAAACAAATGGTAACCAAAAGAAATTAAGAAATAAACTAAAATAGTTTTGCAAGGTATATCATCAAATACGAATCAGATGGAAATATTATAATTAACCATTATAAAAAAAGTACTTTTAATAAAATATTAATTGTAATACGAATTAAACAATAAATATAATCATTATTTGTAAAAGTGGAAAGAATATGAAAAAGAAGAAATGGAAAACAATTTATCTTAAACAATTATAACGACTCTAATGGTTTAAAACAAGCGCAACTGATAATAAAAGGTGTACGTAGTACTTGTGTCATATGAGCAATTGGATTTATTATACACTTGTACACAAATATTCTTCGTGGTTTTCTGAAGAAGCCGAAGAGTTGAAGTAAGGCCCATGACTTGCTATGCGGTCGTGATTACAGTTGTCTCAAAATACATTTTACAAACTATAGGTCATGCAGACGGGTCAAAAACGATAACTTCCTTGTATCCTCTTCCATTACTTACACACTTACATGCACTACACTACCACACATGTCGGGAGACCAGTCAGGGGCTTTGAGCTTGTCCCATCTGGGGCGATGCCCCGCTGGTGGGAGACACCTGGTTGGGGAAGTCGACGTATTGGGCGGCGCCGAATCTCTTCAGTCAACAGGGAAGTAATCACCGTCCCTCCCCGCAAAAAAATACCACACTAACAGTAATGATTACAGCGGTCCTCATACCCGGATACATCAATCAATCCATTCCTAAGATTTGGAAAGGCTGAGATTGTTCTATGAGTTCGCAGATGTCAGAGAGAGAGAGAAGAGGGAGAGAGATGGAGAGAGAGGGGGAGAGAGGGAGAGGGAGAGAGAGGGGGAGAGAGGGAGAGGGAGAGAGAGGGAGAAGGAGAGAGAAAGAGAGGGAAAAGGAGAGGGAGGAGAGGGAGGGAGAGATAGAGAGGGAGAAGGAGAGGGAGGGAGAGATGGAGAAAGAGTGAGAGGGAGAGAGTTGTATTGTTAACTGTAGTCACTAATTACGAAAGTTTTATCTAAAACGTAAAACAAAAGTAACGATTCGCCAATATTTTATTCATTAGAGACATTTTCACACGATGTTATGGACGTTCGCATTCCAACCTGAATGCAACATGTGAAGCCATGAAGTATATAAAGTTGCATACTCAGCAGGCGCTTCCGTTGTATGTTGCAAACCGCTAATAATAAATAATAGTGTTTTTTGTATCAAGGGCCGAAAAAATTATACTTTCGAATAGGTAGTTCTGTAAATGAGGAGAAGCACAGTGTGTCAATATTATTTCTCACTTAAACGATTTTTTATAAGAAAATTTGGAAACGAACTAAAAGGGAGTAAGATTATCTATGCATACAAAGAAAGCAGATAGGTAATGGGAAGAACAGGCAGTTTTCCCAGCGTTATATGTATTTTGATTTAATATTTACGTAATTTTTTGTTTGAATATTTGTCATTTAATAGGTGAAGCATGTAATACACATAATTTTAGAATTTAATCAAACATAAAGTGTTTGTAGTTTCCTTTACATAGAAATGTTTTAGTTCTTCGAATAAGTAATCTTAAATTGAATAAAAATACGGATACAATTTGAAAAGCGGTGTAGCGTTGCTGATAGTTCCAGCGAAATATTTTAGTTCTACCGTATCTGTAATAGACCGTTCACGGTAATCAGTCGGCGATTCAGTCTGAATCAGTCGGCTTGTCTGAAGGTGCCAAAGCACTCGTATTCTGTCTTCCCGTTCTGTAACAAACGCGATCTACCAAATAATGTGATACGTGCATGCTTCCTAATAAATGTACTAGTGGTTTTAAAATTCCATTCATTTTATTTAATATTTATAAATTAATGAATAATGCATATTTAAAAATTATTACATACTTCTGGACCTAAGATGTGAATATTAATTGCATGTGAAATTAAATTGTACTACTATCTCAAGTATGGAATTTCGTATTGTTTATACATCTCCAGGAAGATTGTTTTTGTAATAGATACTATACTAAACCGCACACTCTACTCTAGTGTGTTTTAAATACAGGAAAATACACAGAATTCAGATAAAGAAAATATATATTTTATTACAGACATAAGTTTCATCCTTGAAAGGTAATATGTTACCAGCTCCAACCAAACATTGTAGACGCTCCGTGATCGAACCTATCTCTGGATTCTTTGCATTGTGAATCCTAAGTACGCCATGCATCAGAGGAATTCCGTGCAAAGTACTCCGTGGATTGGAAATTACACCAACGGAAATAACCCCCGACGAGCTAGAATACACTACATAGAGTGGACAAAGACCATCCATCTTTGCAGCAAATTGAAGCCATGTTTTTTGCAGTCAAAGTAGCACCCTCTGGAGAAACAGGGTATTCTATTATTCCGTTTGGCGCTGGTTAAGTGAGCACACGCCGCCAGTAATATAAATCCTCGTACTCTGTGTTCCACGACTAACCATTTTGAAAAAGATATCACAATATGTAAGAAAAAATTGAGATACTTTAAAAACACATTGCTTCCTGCATCATTGTTATAAGAATAGAAGTTGTTGAAATGTTATTGAAGTTAGCATAACATCTGAAAGTGAATGTTATTGCAATATAAGGCAAACAAACATATCACAATAAGAGCGGCAAACTTGAAAAATGATATATTTGTGGTTTGATGACTTTTATTTTTATAGTTATATGCCGAATATACTTCTGGCATTATAAATATTACTATTAATAATTAACCACTAATATAATTTAAATACAGATAAACAAAAGTCTACAATATAGAAATAATATCTGATGCAAACTACAAGTCGATTCAGTACAACAGTTCTGTACGCCACCATCAGGCACCTCTCATGTTTTGATGGCAAAAAACATGGCGTCCGCTAAACGAGACTACATCCGGCAATTAATTCGTCGATCGTCCATGAAAAGCGCTGAAACCATAGGGTCAGCCACTCTATATAGTATATTCCAGCTCGTTGTAAACACCTTTGATCTATGTTTAGTTTAAGAAAGAATGGTATTGTATTACAAAAAACAATTAGAAACTAATACTTAACAGCTTGTGACAAGCAAACTATCAAACAAAAAACTGCCAAGTACATAAACTGCCAAATACACAAACTGCCAATACATAAACATTAATTTTAGTAAAATAAATGCATAGGGAATATTATATGTGAAATTACGAAAATGAACGTGACGCCACATAAAACCCACGAATTTATACACTTATAATATAAATTAAATAACTCGCAGGAAGTATTGAAAGATTATTTAACTATCCTTTACTTTAAATAAATTAAAGAAATTAATTTGAAAAAATGTAGAGGATGAAAAGGATTGTTTTTAAAGAATTAATAGCAATATCTTACTCTATACGCGGGAACGCCTGCTGACTGAACGATAAAGCAGCAGGGGCGGACTCCAGATTCCGGACCCTATCCTTTGGCCTGGTGAGTAAGCTAGCCATCCCTACTGAGCTTGACTTGCTAAGTAAGCTAGCAATTCCCACTTATCTTGGCCTACTGAGAAACCTATCCAATCCTACTCGCCTTCATCTGATGAACAAGCTAGCCATTCCTACACACCTTGAGCTGCTGGATAAGCTAGCCATCCATTTGTCGTAACCACAATTCAACCCCTGTGTAAAATATTTTATACCCACAATAAGGCGCAGTATTTTGTAAATATTACGTTGTAGTGTATCAAAATTACTGAAACTTTCGAGTGCAAAGATCTAATGCAACAAGTAAGAAATAGTCGGTTTATTAGAGATAGATTTCTTGAGCGAAGCACATATTTTTACGACACATCACTTATATATCAAAATATATAATTATAAATCGAGTCCTCAGGGCCGCTATTTCGAATTATAAAGTCATCAAGAAAGAAGACCGTGGGGCGACTGTGAAGTTCTTTTTCAAAGCACAAGTTTGCTACAAAAACAAATACATTGTAATTAGAGATGCTAAAAAAAGGAGCAAAAATACTTTAGGAAATAAAATTGGTTTCAAAACAAATATTTGTGTTCTGAGTATCTTTCGTTATTGTTTGCTCCTGAAACGAACGCATCCGTCGTACAGGGCGCGTTCTCGCACAAATACAATTTTTTTTGCATGGTTTCCTCTTCCCTAGTCCTTCCAGATCAACATTGAGATGGTTTTTATTTTTCCACTAATAAATTTACTTAATGGAGGAAAATAAAAAAAAGAATTTAATTATTTCTTTAGAGCTGAAGATTCTAAGGCATACACCATAAAATATGGTAACTTAATGAAATACTAAATGAAAACACTTCCATTTTCAAAATAACAAAGAACATTTATTTGTAATAATAACAAGAAAACGTGCTCAATATTGTTTTCAAACTGAAAATAACAATAAAACGTTTAATTAATTTAATAATTTTCAGGACCAGTATCTAGGTTTACCTTTTACAACTTTCAAATAACCAAAAGTCCTTCCTTTATGTGAAATTCGATTCGTAAACTTCACTATATCGACTCATCCAAATATTGACCTGAACCAAATATACTGCCAATATAACATTGCATTTCTTGCATTCAAATTGGTCACTGAGTTACGGCACTCCGACTGAAATTCTCTATCAATTATTTACGTTCTCAAACCATAACGTTCATTTTTCACTCTGGTTGTTGATTCCGTACGTCTACCTAAGTCGACAATCTCCTTGACATCACAATATTGACAACCTGTGATTTTATTCCAGTAGGCCGTGTCTATACACATTGTCTTGGCTGAACAAATATGAACGAAATCTATACGAATAAAACTGAATTCAATGACATATAACCATCATCTATACCACAAACAGTAGTGCATGAATAGATACGAAACATGTACACTCTTCATGATTGTCGTAGTGAACTTGCAAAGTTTGGCTAAGATCAATTCAACACAAAAGCGGAAAGTAAATAATTTAAATAGTATGATGGAAAGTACACCACTATCATTATTTTCCGCTGTCGCTAAGAGTAGATTGGTTGCACATACAGTATATCCCGCCAGATGCAAGTAGTGGTACAGTGACAGAACTGGTACCTAATAAATTGATTCCTAATATATTACACTAGAGGTCAGTAGCGGAGCAGCAAAACCCATAGAATTTCTGACACTAGCAAATGCGCAAGATAAAAAATAATCTAATAGCAATGTACTGTGAAATAAAATGAAAGAAAATTGCAGTGTTTTATTAAAATTGGACCAATCACATTAAAAATAATACACAATAAACGCCGTGGTTTATATAGAATTTAGCTTTTACCTCTTTCAACAAGGATTCAATTTGAAGAAAGGCTGGGCAACGCCGAATATTTTGCTAGTATAACATAATATTGATACGATACAATGGTTATATAGTACTCTGCTAGAAGGAATGGGAATAATTAGAATACTAATTGATGGGCTCGGGAATAAAAAATGGTAACCCGAAAAAGGACAGTAGTTGAGATATTATAATTTTCGTAAAGTTCCAACTTTGTCCATTACGCAGGAATACTCAAATAGTCCAAATTCCGGCGTTTATACTAGTCCCCTTGTCATCTTTATGTACCCCATTTAAACCCCTTGCAGCAAAAAATTCTGTTGCTTATACGACGCAATCGCTTCCACATGAGTTGCAATGTTTTTTTCCAGATCCCTTCAATTATCAATATTTTGTTTAACATTACACGCACAATAACATTACTAATTTGATATACTACATTCGTGTTTGCCGTTGATTTCAAATTTCAAGTATTTCATTGCAAACATTTGTTTAGTTATCTTAGTAATATACCAAAATGTTCTATTGCAAAACTTAGTTTTCTTGTACAAAAATGGTCATTAATATTAAAAATAAAATATACAATTGTCAAAACAATGCAAACTCGTTCAATAGTTATCTCAAATAAATATAGTTACGTATTATGAGACAATTTGTCTTGAGGACAGATTATAACGTGCAGGCTTTTTAGCGTAATTGGTGCCATGTTTATGTCAACGGTAAATTTATCCTATATATATATTATCTTTATATTGCTATTTCTGTCCAATTTTCCCATAGAACTCTGACACGTATCTGTATAAACACGTATTTAACTCACCGCAATGGCCTGTTAACTAACGTGAAAGCGAACAGATGAAAATCGTGTGCTTCTCGACCGCATCGCGGGAGTGCGCCAGTGGCGGCAAAGAGAAGAGGGCGAAGTGGAGGATGGGAATCGACACACGGTGCACACGCAACCACTGAGCGAATTGGGAGGGGAAATGAGGAGAAGGATGACAGCGACCGCCGAGGCGTGGAACGAAGCAAGGAAAGGGTGGGTACGATCGAATATAGAAGCGGATGCCGACACTACCTTTATTTAACGCCAATTCCACGTTGCTTCGTTAGAAACCACAATCGAGATTTAATATAAACTATTTTAGCAAAAAATTCTTCACGCATGCATATTTTAAACCCGCGTAAAAATGCCTCGTAAAAACTTTGTAGGGACATTTCTTCTTCTGTCTTTCCTTTTTGTTCCTTCGTTGTGTCTGGGCGTTTCTCATACTTTTTCACATAAAATTATATGGCTCAGCGATGGTCGACAGTTTATGAGATCTGTAAGAGGAGGTCGCAAAACTTAAACAGGTCCAGGAACCGCCCTAGGGTAAACATTAAATCCAAGTGAAGTGTTCCTACGCGTCAAGTTGGACATTGACACCAGAGAAACAGTGGTGGCAACGGCTGGCAGCGGAACCTCGAAGTAAACTGTTGGGAAGTTTGGTAAAATTAAGTTTAAGGTTAACGCAAAGATATTTGTGTCGTAAAGAAAAGGAGAACAGAAGACTGAAAATTACAACAGATTTGACCCAGATATAGAAGAGTTTTGGTGGATAACGCTCACATCCAGAGCACTTTGGATATTTCTCATAAGGAGAAGGCGTATTTCTTGTACTACGTTTTCTTTGACCAAGTTTGTTCCTTGACCCGTTATATTTAAAAGTTCGACAATAAACCAAAGATCTTGCGACGAGGACACAATTTAGTTAAATCATTTAGTAAGAGGTACCACTAAAAGGCTTCTCAACGGAAAATTGTACATCAGAAAACGTAATTCACAGTGATGACTTCAAAAGATTCGGAGCTGGCAGGCACCAGTAAGTAGTTTTTACTTTTTCTACGGAACTTCAGTTTAGTATTGGCAAGTTCTATTGTATCAAAGTAATATACATATGTTAGGCTACTTTACGGTATTTTTTTCTATTCGCGAGTAGAAAGTGACTCTAAAGTTTCAAAGATAACAACTTAATGTAATTTATAATAGACTCTGTAGAATAAGTATAATCGAAATATTGTCTCTCCAATGTTTTTGTTGTTATTATTATTATTATTATTATTATTATTATTATTATTATAGGATTAAAGTATGTATGTACAATTATATTAACCGCCGTCTTTTATTTCAGTGTATATGACAATCTTTCAAGATTTCTTGGAACCCCCTCGTTTTTTTTTTTGTTGTTTTTTTGTCTTTCGAAAGGGCGCCCAATCACTGGTGACTATATTTTGGTATTCTGCCAGAGTACAATGTCACTGGATAGACATGTCATTACAGTTGTTCGAATTCTACATTGTCTATTATTTGTCTTTCCATTCGCATTAGCTGCCTAGTCTCTTCATTGGGTATTGTATCAAAACGGGAGTACTGACAACATAGTCTCCAAAAGTTAATTTCCACTGCATTTAACAGAGAGTTTATAGCATCCTTCTAAAACAAAAAAAAATATTTCCCATTATTTTTTACCCTTTCCAACATTACAGAAGAAAATAAAAGAAATATGAACATAGTTATCTTCAAGCTCTGAAATAAATTTGAGATCATAGTTCACCATCGTTTATCACACTTATGAGAATTTCGAGAGATCATGAAAGACACTACTACAATACTAGTGCTAATGAATGTTACGTGTTCGATGTAGGAACCTGACTGCCAACTAGTATCTATCTCTCTTATTTAATTCTTCCATGAAAACAAAACTAATTCCCAAGATAGTTTTCCTTCTGTGGGAAAAATCGTTTTTAATTCCCTTAAAAGAATTTTTGAAAGATCATTGCGAGAAATTAATGATTGTGTTATGAACAACTACTAACAAATATTTAGGAACAAAATGTTCACGTTTTAAATTTTAATCTCTTATACCCATCAAACAGTTCTAACCGTGTCGCCGACACAACGGTAAACATAATCAGCCTCGATAATAAACATTGTTTCATAGAGAGGTTGTTAGCAAAATATTTCATTATAAATTTCATTTGTGTATAATAAAAATGCGAGAGAAATGAAGGGTTTAATTTTCTCTGCTCACACATAGTAGTTGAATGAATATTAACTTTCATGTTACGTTCGTGTCGCATATAAAGACCTACTCTTTATAAATTTCAATTCAATGGAGATGTGGAAGAGCAATAATATTCTTGTGTTGTTTATTCAGCGACAAATAAACAGAAATGTGAAAACATGACTACGCTCACTATTATTTTACGTAAATTTACCTCCAGCAAGATATTTACCGAAGCATTTTAAGTGGCAAGTGGCGCAAGTCATTTTATTTCATAAATCCAAAAGTTATATTTTCACATTATTTGAGAGTATAATACATTCAAAAAATTTTGTTACAATGTTTCAATGAATGCTTTCAACGTCATCAACGTTATTAGAGAATACAAATCCTACGGGTATGAACTCAAAAATAACATAAAACCGCTATATTTATTTTTACCGCACGCATAAATCATTCAGTTTTACGAAAAGGACATGTGTCCTTCCTTCAGTTATTAAGAGTAGTTGAAGACAAAAAATGTTCATGTAATTAGGAATTACTGTCACGGAAGCAATAAATGATTACATTGAAAATTAGGTGAAACAAAATAACAAAAATATATCGTCTTGGAGAAGAGAGGTTTCCATAATTAAATATAGAATTAAAAATTAAGGGAAAACAAATTAATAGAAATGAGAAAAATAGAAATCAGTGAGAATACGAAAAAGGAGCCAGGCACGACATGAATAGGTGTACTAATTTTAAGAAAATATAAAGAAACAAAGGGTTAAAGAGAAGCCTCACCAGTAAAAACATGAAGTATTTAGTACAAAGCTATTTTGATCGAATCGTAATTACCTTCACTGCATGAGTTTGGCGCGGCTTAGGACAGGCAGAACAGCCTGTGTTTGTAATAAAATAGTATCCATTTCCATATAATATAATTGCTGAAAATCGTATTTATTGCTGAGCATTGACAAAGGAAGTCTTACGCCTTTTGATCTATTTTTCTAGTAATATTATCACAGTGTTACTTAATGTGATTTGTCTCTGCCTTTCAATCTATTAAGATCGTTAAGTTATCATAAAGGTTGAACGATAATGAATGGATTGATTCAGATGAGACATATAGTAAAAATTGTTTCCGGGTGAGTAAACTACTTAGTTTTAAAATCCCATACGTGTAGTACATGTTATATCTCATGAGGGGGCGGCGCTCCTTCCCCAAACGGATCGTAAAATCTTAGTTACTTACACGTTGGCGTTGGCTTGTCCGGTTTTCCTCTTTAAACTATCTTCCCTGGTGGGCCAGCCCCTTTTCCCAGTTAGGACAAGTTCTAACCTCCCGATATATATATATATATATATATATATATATATATATATATATATATATATATATATATATATAATGATATCAAAGACGAGAAAGAGAAGATTGTGCGCGGTCCTGGCACACTTTTTAGCTGACCTGACTGCATAGACATTCGCCTGGTATCTATCAGAAAAATCACGCCAACTTAACGATCAATGCAGCCAGCTGCTAGAATTCGCATCCACAATGGGTGAATTGGAGCCAACGGCCAAAACTGCACCACGGTCGTCGGGACTCAAACCATATATCATCCTCCCTCAAAGATGCAGTACCCAGAGTGCACGCTGATACTACGTTCCCTTTCTCATCATTGATCCCACATCTCCCCTTACAGCACACAGGCATGCACTAACTACCCCTCACAGCAAGAGACCAGTCTGATGCTTAGACATTGTCCCTAATGGGAAGGGAGCCACGTGGAACGGAGGAACGACGTAACCGCTAAGTTATTCCAGCCGGTACGATTCAATATAAAGCGAAACTACCATGCCCACCAACATGGTAAATCGCTGATGACTTATCCTAGACTTGAACCCTAAATTTTGGCTTTTGCGTGCTTAAACGATGGTCTAAGCTGTTGCGTCACCCAGACCTACATATCATAATTTATGATAGAGTAATGGTAAGATTCGGATTTACGTTTGACTCTACTTGTATGCCATGGCACGGTAGGCGAGGCATTTCCAAACCTCCATGCATGTCCTAACAACATAACCAATCCTTACATTTACTCCCTTGCGCAAACGAATGCACAAGGGCGACTACAGTCAGCGAACGTGGTCAGAGGAGAGGAGGAGGGTGCACCGTCAAAGGAACAGCTACGTCCGCGCCATCCGGCCGCCACTGAATCGCCCTAAACGATAAACTGTTCGAAATGTCGCATCACCTTGGGGTTTTGAACTTCAGCAGCAAGTGGGAGACAGCCGCGATGGGTTTAAGAGACACCATGACGCAATGGCTGGGGCGTTGGATTGACTGATTGATTAGAGTCTCCGGACGCGTCAACAGCTAAGCTCATTAGTTTCGTAAATGTAGTGCGTCTTTTATCGCGGAACGCCGCAGTGGTCTTCTTCTGGTAGATAGCGACATCCGATGCCGACTTACACATCGGCTTGCTTTTTTCCCCTCCAACCTCCCTCCATCAGCGCTCTGGAAGGTTGAAGTAACAACTCAAGTGTGTAAAATGATAATTAGGTAAACTGAGTATAAGGGTGGAGTTGTGAGCCTGTGGAGTAAGACGACTTTATCACACCCGATGATGATGAAAATGCTGAGAATGGTGATAATGATTATGACTATTTCCCGACCAACTAAAACATACATCTACATTCCAACCGGCAATGATGTCCCAGGCCATCAATTGATGTCATTGACCGGGAGGTCCTTTGGTTCCAGTCCCGATGGTAGCAGGATGTTCGACACTAGCTACAGAGATAATGCGGAATCAGAAGCTGTCTGGAAGAGAATTCTAGCGACTAGCTGCTCTGATCGGTATTTTACATGGTTTCTCCCATCAACACCAGGAGAATGCCAGAACAGTACTGAAACAAATTGGCCTTTCTCTTCCTTGTCGAATCCTCACCCCTTACATAGACACATCTGCACTTATTAGCACAACATGACTATACATGTCGGGAGACTAATTTGGAGCTTAGAGTTTGTCCCGGCAGGGGAGGTATTCCAGCTGATGAGAGATATCTGGTAAGAAAAACCTAGCTAGCCGACTTGGAGGTCGACGCCGAATGTCACCATCCAGCTGGAAAGATCCCCGCCACCTCTAGAGAAGTAAACATTCACAACGGATCTAATGACCTTACCAGTCGATGCGTCCGGAATCATTAATCAATCAAACTATTCCTCGACCCACCGAAACGTAACAAACCCCTCCCCAACCTCCACGCACGTGCATCCAGTGAAGCACCACGTTGAAATGGAAGTGTCAGGGTGTGAATGGGGTTCCGGAGAAAGTGAACGAAGTAGGCTCCGTGCGGATTTGCTCTTGAGCGGCAGCACTCGCTTATTCGCGCATGGGGGGGCGACCGTATTTGAATAATGTAATTGGAACACACAGCACTCAAACTACAAACCAATGCGTTTATTCAAATGATTTACCCATAATGAAATATGATAAAGCTGTTAATATTCATGGGCTAGCGGTCGACGCAGGTCGAATATCGGGGTGAAAAGTGGCAACAGCGCCAAAATCTGTGGATGGCTCCGCGGAAACATGCGCAATCGGCGCGAGGGATAATTCGCTTGACAGGCTCGGATGGATTAGCGCACATTGCGCCTGAAAAGGTAAAACACGACTAGATGGCGATCACTCTCGACCCCGATAGCCCCGAGGAAATTGAAAAATTCATGGTTTTCACACATACATGGAAAGGACCTTGCGGAATTTCAATGACACTAAAAGTAGCAAAGCTCTAGGATTTGAGATTTACTCACGTCTCATGGAAAACAAATACTATTTTTTCAGTAATGATTCCCAGTTCCTTTATTCGGGAACTACAGTTTAATATTTTCCTATTAAATATTCATATTCACGTAATATCACAAATTAAAACGGAATTGTCATAAAACGTACTATTTGAAAATGAATGGAATTGTGTATGAGTAAACAACATTGTTTTCATTTATGAATAGGGGTGTCCTAAAAACCTCAATACTATAATGCTAATAGTGCTGCAATTACTTTATTATACGATCCTTTCTCCATTTACGTTCC